TCTAAAAATAAATATCTACGGCAGATATGTAATATTTAATGCAGCCGAACCGTTATGTGATGACTTCCAAAGAGAAAAGCAAGAACACACAGTATTATTTTATTTAAAAAAAACGTTTTTCCGATTTCATATTGGATAAACACCATATCCCGACATGCATTGCTGCGATGTTTTAGCCTATCAAAACCTCTGAAAAAAGAAAGGTGTCTCTCAGAATCGAAAGAGAAAAACCTATGGGAAAAACACAAAAGCATTGTACACAATTTAAACCAATAAATGTCGTATAATTAACAAGGATAAACTGATATTTTTTAGTTGATGAGTAATGCAGATATCACTGTTAAATCATTTGATCATTGGTTTTATTATGAAAACGTTGAGACCGGAAATACTGTTTTCAACCCGTAACTTTACATGGAGGCGGACGCATACCTCAAATCATCTTCGTAATATCTATCAAACTATAGATCCTACATATCGACTGGACGAGGATTCTAAAAGTACAATATACACTTCTCGCTAGAAATTTTATCAAAAAGCGTTTTAATGGCCAAACTATTCTACAATTTAGGATTTTACAGAGAGGGTTATTTGTGAATAAACGACCATCTGTAACGTTTGCATTCAACGGGAGCACTAGAGGGCGAAAACTTTAAAACGTAATTATAGGACGTATTAAGCGCTTGAACAAACGACATATTTGGTCGTAATAAGGGCCTGAACAATCGGCCCATTTGGTCGTATGAGTTGGAGGACGTGTTGGGTGGAATTCCCAATGCTATATGATTAAGATGGGAAGTGGAATACAGGTGCTTTATTGGCAAAGTGGATAAAACAAAAGCAATGAAGAGGGCCTTTGAGGCAGCGAAACTATTCTCTAGACTAGATTGTATTAGGTCTAACAGGGGTAGCCTGAGAGTGTGCTACTGGGACACAAGCTAGGGTTTGATCATCTCCTGCGGGTGCTTCTGATGATGAAATAACTGAAACCTCCAAAGACCCCAGGTTACTTTACTGATGATGTGTCCCAAATGTTTCATTAAATTGATGTGGAAACAACCAACCAACACATTCAAACAAAAACAGCATAACATTTTAACAAAAGTTGCTTTATTTGGCACAACACAAAAGTGCTTCACGATAACACTGCCCATGACTAGTTTGACATGAAAACAACCACATTGTTATTGGTCTCAATAATTACATTTGAAATAAAACCATCATTAAAAGTGTATAAAAATGTCCCCCAAGTTTTTCTAAATTGTTATTGCTTCATAAGGCACCTCCCAACTTTAAAACATAATTTGCAAATAATTACATTTGTGTGCAAATGTTTTGATTACAGTTTCCAGTCTGCTTTGGCATTATTGCTCATTTTACTGAACATGGGATGCACGACTGCAAACACATTTGGAGTCTAGCACTTATGTTCACGTTATGTATATATATAAAAACATTTTCTAAATGTATTTTTTTGCAGTGTATACAAATATATCCTTAGGGGTTTTACATGTATACCATAGGCCATCTTACTAAGAACAGAATTCTATAAACCACAGAATCATCTTACATAAATATGCTGGTTTTCCATCTAAGTACAAAGTACAAAAACACAGGTTCATCAACACTCTTGAAATCAATAACTTATCCCTACAAATAACATTTATCTTGTTGTTATTGCAGACAAACCCCCCAGCTCAGAATTTCACATTGTTTGGTCAGATATACAAGTCATTGTCAGAACAGTTGAAAGCACAACAAATACATTTTCCCATTTTTCTTATAAAAACATGAGTGAAAATAAAGAATCTTTGGTAGCTAAGCGAAGTAGAAAACAAATGTCTATATATAAAATGCATTGAAATACAAAGTAACAACAAGTAAACGGCTACAGCAAAGGGCCGACTAGGCAGAGAAATCCAGCTTTGACTTAATAAGGAACTGTGTATAAAAAAGGACACTTTTATATATAATATCACAAACAGATCATAAATTACTTGAGACCTTCAGAATGCATCAGTCTTTGGAAGGCATCCTAATGCCTTAATGCAATGCAAAGAGAACCACTGAGGTATTTCATCTTGATTACGTCAAGCATCATGCTGGAAGACAGGAGAGACATAAAAGTGCATAAGAATTAAACTCATGTCTGCTCCTGGTCTTTAGCAAACACTGGACTCGTTTCATTCCAAAGTGCTGTTCCTTTCCATGAAGTGCCCTTATTCACATTCCTGTTATCAGGTAGTACTTTTCTCCCATTTGGTGCATTAATGTGTTCTTCTCACATTTACTTCTTCCTTACAATGTCAATCAACATAATACAAGGAAGCTATCTTCGATACAGTATGTGAATTATAGGAAGAGAGCAAGGACACATGGAAGGCAATTTGGATTGGAACATGCCCATCATGTCTACTTGGTGGTTATCACTAAACTTGGAAGAAAGATAAAACATTACCAATAATAGTGTTAAAACCATTTTTGCAATATCGCTCATAATTCATATAAAAAAAGTAAAACAAAAAGTTATTTTTTTCCATAAAAAAAACAGTCACAGCAGCAATGGTACACAGTCTCTCCTCTGGTCACATGTTCACCTGGTCCCCTGTGAGATTATATCCACCAATCAGTGATCAGTTTGAGATTCTTCACTTTGTAAACGTTGAGAAATACTGCAATCATGTCATATGGGAATAACAAATAACCTTATGATGGATATTAATGGATTTTGCATCCTCTCGATGGCATGATTGGACACTTCTATGCATGTTGCACCTTTTCACATTCATTTTACATGCACCAAGGCCAGTGATGCGTGCGTTTTCAAGCAGGAAATTAAGAATTGTAATGTCAAGCCTGCATCAAATAGCTGTTCACTACCATTGATATTTAGTAGTTGCACCAATGAATTGACAACAGCGAAACTAAACAAATTCTTCTGTTGAAACAGATCAATACATTTATAACGTGTGAAGACTATGAGAAAGTGTCCAATATGACATGAGTGCAGCAAAAGAGCAGCTTTTCTTCTTAAAGCCCTTTCTGCACCCTTTTCACTCTTTGTACATGGATTATTTAGCTCTTCCAAAGAGATTCTTAAACACTGATAAATTACCCCAATGCTTTGCCTTCAGAAAAGCTAAGAACTTTGAAGTTGTGGTATTCAATCTTTAAACAGATGTGTTGTGACTATTTGTGGATATGTTTTCAATGGTTATGTGGGTAACCTCACCTATTCATGAGGTGTACACTGACCATCCAGATACTTGCATATTACAATTACAAAAACACCATTAATCCAGGACAATGGAGAAAGCTGCTAGTGGTGTTGTTTCTTTGCTTCCATTGGCGGTGGCTTAATGTAGATGTGTTTCTAGTTAGGGTGTACAAACATGTTGTGGAGACACAATGATGCTCTGGAGGAAGAATATTCTTTCTGGTCAAGTTAAACCCCAATGGATGGATTTACAAAAAAGGCAGTTTCTTTGGCTGAGTTGCAAACGTTAGACTGAAGCCCATTGAAAATGACATGGGTAAGAGGTAGCTAACGTTACAAAGCCTAGCACTCTTGCAGCCAACTGCAATGTATTAAACAATGCCATACTGAGTGGTCAAGTTTACCTAGTGAGTTTACAGTAGCTGATCTTTTGCTAGTTATACAAGATTCTAATAATAAAGGACAATGGTCATGAATGAACAGAAAGAAGAAGCAGCCACTGTCATTCACATGTTCTTTTTCCTTTCAAGTTTAAAAAAAACCCTGTTTGGCCATTATAGTTGAACTCAACCAGTTTTGCCTCCAGAGCTTTTCTGCATCTAAAAAACATTTGTATAACAACATGGTGAGAGTAAAAAAACGGCCGAAAAACCAAGTTCAGTGGTAAGTGATGACTGTAAGTAAGTCAAACATCCAGCACCATATCATAGTGGGGTTCCTTCTTCCTCTTCCCACACTTATTTATGAGCACTGTATACAACGTCAAAAGCATGACCCAGTAACTGGCATAGACGACTGCCCCGATGACCAGAGCAATTTTTTCTGAATCAGGAAAGGGTTTTCTAGACTGCAGGATTACTGTGTAGATAATCCCAATGAAGAGAATGGTAAACCAAACTGATATAGGAACCAGACCAATGAAGTTCGTCACTACGGTTTTTCTGCCAGAGGTCCCCCATCCAGACTTGTTGATTGTTGCTATTGCGAACATCTTAGCTGGCAACAGGCTTGACATGTAAAGTACTGAGTAGAATGACATGAACACCATGACAATGTTACCCCTGAGGCAGCTGGCAAACGCTGCCTTGATCAACGCCACCGCCTGCACAATAAGCAGAAACAAAAGAATATTCCAAAGCCTTCCTTGATAGAAAAGTTGGATTGCGGTGGCGATGAGGAAAAATGGAAAGAAGCCCGTTATTACAGCCTCATAGGTCATCCATAGATGGTGTTTGTGGAACCACATGGAGTTGTATAGCCATTCTCTAAAATATGACTTACTCCATCGTGTTTGCTGATTGAGCCAACGCAGGTATGTAATCGGCGTCTCAGTGAGGCACTTTGCTCGAGCAGTATATTTGGTTGCATACCCAAGGCTTAGAACTCTGTTTGTGAGATGGCGATCATCCCCAAAACTGCAATGGGATCCCATGAAAGTCTGATTGTACCAGTCTTCAAGGAACTCGTGCAGAAGAGAGTTCCGGTACATTCCTAAAGGCCCACTGATACACTGCACACAACCAAAGTAGGACTGGCAGGCCCGTTCGATGTTGAAGGCCATCCAGTACCGCACACTGCTTAGGAAGGAGATCCACGACTCGTATTTGTTCAGGATCTAGGGAGAAATTGATATGCCGAATTAAAAAGTTGGTGATTGAACATAAAACATTTGATTGATATGGAATTTTCAGTTTGCAAAATGTGTCACTTGCGTGGAATAGGAAAGTTTTCTTAATTTTGAACCAACCTGCACATCTCCTCCAACACCTCCCACCATAGGGTCTTCTTCTAGAACCTTCACCATCTCCACTGATGATGCCGGGTCCAACATAGTGTCAGAGTCACACACCTGAGTAAAACCAACAAAAATAAACAGTGAGTTACTTTTGTTTTAGTGTCGAAGATAATCTGGTACTGTCATGTAAAAAGTCTCACAGGGAATCAGGGTATAAAGATATATGCAATGTAAAAATAAAATGTACTTGAGTTGATTCCAAATATTGAAATAGTAAATGAATTGTCGTCTGCAACAATGAGTAATGCCTTCAAATTACATCACCTCCCACTATCTTCCTGCTCTCTCTATTTTCTTCTATAAATGGTCATTTTACTCCCTAACAAAATCAGGTGATGAAAACAAACCTAGAGCCAGATCCCTATTAAAACACATCTGTTAGAGGCAAATACTGATGGTGGAACAAAGGCAACACTGTCCCTCCTTTTTTGAAGGATACTGGCATCACTGCTAGCAGCTCTGAAGTTAGTTTTTTTTAAATCGCTGTAAAACAAAAGGTTTCTGGCAGTCACCGAGCTGCAGGTGTTAGGCAGCACCATATCAAAGGGTTTTATCACTTGAAGTCCCCTTTTCCGTAATGCAAACTCATTAATATCATTCTAATGTTATTCAAATAATGAGGTTTCTGTTGTGTTTTACTCATTGTTCAACATGTTATGTTTATGTAAAACGGCCAGCTGAATATTACAGAACTAATATGACGTGAGGAGAATGTTTTGGCCAAATTATGAAAGTAACGTTGGTTCATATTTATTTTAATGTCAATTGGATATAGGATAAAAATCAGTGTTGGCCCTTAATCATTTTATGTGGTGCCACGCTTCTGTTTATATCTTAAGTCATACAACCACATGATACAGGCAATATTAGGTATTTATATACATCTGCCAGCCAGTTTGTTGATGTTGAAGTCCTGAGGGCTGAAACGTCATTTGAAAAAAGAGACATGCATATGGAGCCGGGTCTGGGACACTTTTTCCACACCTCTACATGTAAGTCTATTTCCAGTGTTTAGCACCTCATTACATCCATGGTTGCTTACTTTGTGAGTATTTCATGTATACCCCTGCCAAACACTCTTGGGAACTGACTTTTCCAAAGATATAATTTAAATGTCGTTAACATAGACTGAGATCATAATTGTTCAACCGGTTTTGAACAGTATTTATTTAAATTCCATGTAATGTCAAACAGTCAAACAGATGCATACCAAAGCAACCCTTTCTTTGACACAGTTTTTGGTTCATGTAGATGCTGAAACACTAAACAGACCTGTCATTACACTTAGACATAAGCTACTGCTGCCCTGCTTCACGCTACACTGCACAACATGATGCACACAGCCACCGTCCGTCTGAAAGCAACACAAAAGGCTCTTTGTGGACCCCATGTTTGGTTTGGCAGAACCCCCATTCCCCTCTACAGCCATCTCTCTCTCCATCTCTCTTTCTTTTCCCTTTCACTCAGCTCACACTGATGACAGCTGTCCTTATCTTACCTGTGAATGTGTGAATATATACACACAGGCTCATTATAAATAATATTTTATGTTATATAATGGTGTCAAATTTACATCAGTGCCTCCCCCCTTTTTTTTGTTGTTCTCCTACTCTTCAATTGAACCATTACGAAAAAAACTATACTCCACCTTTTCCTATTCCTATTCCTTCATTATTCTCACTAACCCCTCTTTTAGTATACGTGTTTCTATTTCTACGGACTCACCTGCACATAGTCAATGCTCCTCCCCAGAGCTTTGAAGGCTGTGTACATGACGTCTCTCTTGCCACCCCACTTCTGCATGATGCACACACACTTGTTGTTCAGCACCAGCCTGGAGACCTGCTGAAGGCTCTCAGCGTAGCTCTCGTCCGTCTCCTCCGCCCCCCTGCTGTGAAAGTTACTCCGCCACACGTATGTGGCCGACTTGTCCCGACCCATGACCTCTTTAAAAATATCCATCATGTACAAGTCATCTTCTGCGTTCCCGTCAATCACCATGATCACTTTGATCCCCGGGTACGTCAGCCTCTTCACCGACACCAGGCACTTCCTCAGGTAGTGCGGGTCCTCTTGGTACGCTGCGATGCACAACGCCAAGGACTTAGTGAGTTTGATTGGCGTCTCCAAGGAACGCCGCATGTTTCGGTGTTCTAAGAGCGCAAAGAGGCTCTGGATGATGAGATGGACCACCAAGATGGCGCCATACAGGCCGAAGGATAGGTGATTGTGTGCTGTGGTGAAAAATTGGTAACCCATGATGTAGGCCGTGGAGATTCCCACCAGGAGGGACACGCCGAACATGGTGGTTCCAATTATCCGCAGGTAGGTGAGGACTCTCTGACACTTCATCTAGGGACACAGAGTGGAGACAAGGGTCACATTTAGTCAATGTAGAATGTTATGCTAGGGGTTGAAGTCATTCAATCATTTTACGTTCTATTATACATACTTCTCCCTAACAACAGGAAGAAAGTAACTTGCTGCAGACTTCAGATGTCCATCACATTATTTTGAGAGTAAAACTAAAACATTATATACACTTTGAAAAAAAGTAATTTAAAAGACTGACTTAAAGTAGAATTAATACAACATTTGAAAAAAAAGCTTTTTTTGCAATATTTTAGCATAGTATTCTACGACACAGGTTTGTTTTATTACAACAAACCCAGGTAGAGAAAGCAGTAAAGCTTCTCCTTTTTGTACTCCTTCCTCCTCTCCTTCCCTCTACCCCTCCCCCAAATCCTAGTCTAAATGTCAGACAGTTGTGAGTAGCCGATTGCTCCAACTCCCCTTACTGTGGGTGGGCGCACATTACAAGATTTGTTGACCTAATTACCAACAAGCTGGGTGCCCCTGCCAAATGTCCCAGTGCTTTTTAAATCCCTGGGAGGAACTATTATAATATTTTTCTGGTTCAAAAAGATCTCCAGGCTAGGAACTATGTCAATGAAATATTATTCTGTGTGTTTTATGTGTGGCTCAGTCAAAAAAAGGCCCTGCTTTTGTGTCTATACTCTGAGCGACATGAGTCCGGCTGTACAAACTTTTCTAAAGTTTGTTTCCAGCCCTCATTCTGTTGCTACCGCCATCTGTTTGGCAGACCAGCAGAGACCCACTCAGCGTGGCTCAGCTCGGCTCAACGCAGGGCGGACCACCCTGTGATGTCATCTGTTTATATCTCCGTGGGAAGAAGACAAGAGTGTTTTAGATTTTTCTAATGCTGCACGTGTGCCTGTTCCCCTCTGTGCCTCCCCAAAGAAATACTATAAGATTACTTCTAGGATTAAAAAGATAAAGATGTGCAATGAAGAAAGCGAGGGTATGACATTGTATTTCTATTAAGAACATGTTTTTATGTGAAGCATAAAGGGAAAAATCAACCTACGTCTGACCTTTTGAAATTACGCAGGTCAAACTATGTTTATTCGTTCACTGAATCAGTGGGGCGCCCCCAGTGGGGTGTCATTTTGAGACTTGGGAGGTTTGATATAGCAAGTTATACATGTAAGTCTAGTCAAGACGATCAAAATATAAAACTCCACAAAAGAAATAAAGTCATCAAAAGAAAAGAACACAAGGCCTAACCGTGTTTGTCATTTGGCAAGAATGTATAACACCACACCTAAACATACGAGACAGATGGAGTTAGGGTTGGAGAAATAGGCAGATTGAAAGAAGAATTGTAAAGACAGGAAGAAAAGCGCATATCGGATGAAAGAAAGAAAAAGAACAGCAGGAAACACTGAGCAGAACAGAGCAACTGCAAGAGAAAAAACAGAGCAAGACACACTGAGAGCGTAGCAGAGTCAGAGGGGGAGGCTAAGCTAAGGGAGAGGAATATACACACACACACACACACACACACACACACACACACACACACACACACACACACACACACACACACACACACAAACACCCCTAACAAGGATAGGAGATCTTTACAGATCTTAAAATTAAAATAAATCACCAACCTTAGGTATTTTACAAAAGACAAGCTGGTTCATGCTGAGATTTTTCAGTGTGACTTTAATGTGAATTGCTTGTGTCTA